TCATTTCTTTTTTAGAAAGTCTGAGACTTCATTTTCAGCTTTATCTATTATCAAAGGAAGTTCATACCTCACCGGAATGTTGTGGGAGTGACTAAAGTATGTTTTAAATACCAAACAGGGTCAAGTACTTTGTTAAATTCTGGAAACATTTTCCCCCTGCCTGAAGGGAATGGAAGAACATAATGCAAACCACTAAGTTAGAAATGAACATGGTCCTTTAATAAAAAATTAAAAGTTGGAACTAAGATTTATATGAATACTAATGACTTAACAAGACAAATGAAAATTCGTAATGCCTAGTAAGTACATCACAAAATGAAACACTATACTGTATTAACATGCACTATTTTTTGAAAAACCTTTGGAAGTGAAATCTCATGTACCACAGTCAAATGATTCATTCAACAAGCATTGTTTTGTGTACTTATTGTATGCCAGGCTAGGTTCTGGAAATATAAAATATAATGTAGCCCAAATGAGTACAAACCTACAGGATCTTAAACTGCTATGGGGGATTACATAGAGGTAATGTTACAGGAAGACAAACTCCCTCCGATCTCCCTCCAGTAGTTTTCCAGCAAGTTGGCTCCTACCTACCTCTCTCAAGCGTTTCCCAGGAGCATAAAGTTGCCAGGAAGCACATCCTACAGTACTTTCCAGTACTTTCCAGTACAGTAAAGGCAGGTTAACCAAGTTGACTGCAGTGTTCAGAAAGCAGGATCACAAAAGCTGGAATGTGGAAATACAAAGTTCTGTAGCTTTTAGCTCCACCTCCAAAGGCCTGGCCTTTAGAGCCTTTGAGAATCTTATCTTGAGGTCTCAAGTGACTAAAGTCTAAGTGCCACCAATACCAGATTATCCTGAAATGTTACAAAAAGCTGCACAAGGAAATAACTGCCATTGAAGTAACTGGATTGCTCACTCGGACACTCTAATATAGGGCTCATGAGCACAATTCTCTGGAATTTCCCTGACACTACCCTGCAGGCTACCCACTCAGAGGCTGCTCTTCCCAGAAAAGGAACGTTTGGATTCCCTTCACAGACCCTTTGTGCTTCAGGTTCACCTTTAAATTTAGTTCCAGGTGGGAAATCCTGGAGTCCCAGATCCAGAGTGACCTTTAACAGACTTAGGTCTGCCTTTGAGGGAAGGCAGATCCCAGGTGGAAATGCCCTGGGCTGGGTGTTAGAAGACTAGATTCTAGGCTCCATAATGCAGGTTCTGTATCTTGAGCAAGTGACTTCTCCCTGAACCTCAGGTTCCTCCTAGGGCAGGCAAACAAGAGGCCTGTGTGTTCTTCACACTCTCTTCTGGGAATGAATTATGATTCATAGTCCAGAGAACAAGCTTAAGTGCTATTGTGCATTTGGGGGAATTCAGAACTAGTCATCTTGCTGCGGGTGGAAACAGGGCTCTTCCATGGAGCTGCGAGAAAAACATTTCAGGGACCCACACACCGGAGAAGGAGGTGCAGAGGTAAGATTTATTGAAGTAAAAGCAAAGGACTGCCCCCAGGTGCCCAATGTCTCATCCCTGACCAGGTGGCTTAGCTCTGTCTCGCTGCGGAAGAAGTGCTGGGCCTGGGGTGTCCACCAGGAGGGGCAGGATCCAGAGCTGGGATGCCATCACCCTGGCCTCAGGTAGCCCAGCGTAGTCTCTGCTCCCGGCTGCACTCCAGCAGGTGCTGCACTGCCGCACCCAGGCCCGCACTTGGAGCCCTGCGGCTGCTACAGAGAAAATGCGTGCAGCCCGGCCGGGCGTGGCTCAGCGGTTGAGCGTCGACCTGGGATCCAGGCGATCAGGGTTCGATTCCCGGTCAGGGCACATGCCCGGTTATGGGCTTGATCAAAGACTCTCTCATCATTGATGTTTCTGTCTCTCTCTCTCCCTCTCCTTTCCTCTGTCTGAAATCAATAAAGATATATTTTTTAAAAAAGAATGTTTAAATGTTAAAAAAAAAGAAAAAAAAGATGACAACTAAAAATTAAAAAAAAGAAAGAAAATGCGTGCAAACCGACGGGCAAATGCAGGAGCCCACTTATGCTACCACGAGGGGCCTTTCTTGAGCTTCGATATATGATCCTGGGCTTGGGAGAGAGCAGGCTTTCTTTCAAACTAACCAACCTCTTTCCTAATCCTGCTGGGGCTTGGGCTCGGTCTCCCACTCATCCGATCCGGCCTCTTTCCCAGGTTTCCCAGGCTGGACCTCACCTCGATGCCACCATTTGACTCCTGCTGCGCTTGCCCCAACGCTTCGCCGCCGCCTCTGGTTTCCGCTGCCCCGCACTTACTCGCCCGGCACCATCCTGGATTCTGCCCCTTGACAGTGTACGCCTCGCCTTGACGGCCCTTCCTCCCTGTACGGGGCGTGTTCATCTACCCTCAGTGGGGATTTGGCTGTGCCCTGGGGTGTCCAAAGCTGTAACTCCCAGACTTGATCAGGTTTCGGTGTCTCCAGTTTTGTTCCCCTCTTTTTCCTTAATATCTAACTAGCTGCCTATGTCAAAAATCCAAGAGATCGTCAATAATCTCTTTTTGATCCACCCCTGTGGCAGGCAAACTTCTATTTACTAAGCATCTGCTCTTTCTATCATTTTTCAAGGACCCTTTGAAGCGCCCAGGGCACCTTACCTCGTCCCCAGCTCAGGAGGTCTCCTATACCCATGTTCTCTGTTCCCTGTCTCCGACTCTCTCACGTATGAGGAGTTACGATATACATGTATGTATTAAGTCTGGTTATTTTCTCTTGCTAATCTGTCTCTTGTCTTTTTGATTATTAGACCAGCCAGAAGAACCCTGAGGGTAGAGGGAAGTGTCTTCCCCCCCACGCACATTTATCCAGGTTCCTCTTTCGCATAAATGGTTTGAAGCCATTTATAAAATTCAATGGAGTTTAAAAGTGTTTTGTAGGAGTAGAGCTAAGAGAACCAAAAGAGCAGCAAATCGACATTTCTTAAAACTACTTATTTCTGGAAAGACTAGAAGAAGCCCAACTGTTTTAACAGAGTGTAGGCATAAGACTGTCCAAACCTGTAGAAAATTCTTATGAGTTTATGATTTTTACAAGGTCTGATAGCAGTATCTCAACAAACTAAGAAAAATGTTTCACAGACTGACAGTTTGCAGTTTCTTTTATGCATCTGAAACTAAAGAGGGAAGATTAAATAAAGGTGGGAGAAAGCAAGGGGGGAATTGGATTATAGGATAATTAAGTTTATGGGCTGTCTTAAGGGTAGTAAGCTTCAGGGTTCTGAACTAGAGGTTTACTCGGGCATTTCAAAGATGTGCTAACCTAGCCCTGGCCAGTTAGTTCAGTGGTTAGAGCATCAGCCCAGGGACTGAAGGGTGTCAGGTTTGATTCCGGTCAAGGGCAGGTACCTCAGTTTCAGGCTCAATCCCCTACCCTGGTCTGGGTGGGTGCGGGGGACAATCAATTGATGTGTCTCTCTCACACCAATGCTTCTCTC